TTTCTCCAAGGGGAGCAATGAAAATTCCCTGGGTGCTTCAAGAAGGTGGATGCAGTTTATGGAGGACAAGAGCCAAACCATCACTTCTCTTGGTTTCTTCAGTCAAGGTTTCTTCACTTCCTGCATACTGCTTTTTATACTGTGCTGGCTGCTTGTAGACTCTTGGAAGAGAGATTCTGTTTGTTTTCTGCAAATAAATGTGTACCTGGTTCTGCTGCTTACATGGATGGAAGCTTGATTGCCCTAGCCCATAAATCAGGAGCCTGAAGTGCAGGCCAGTAAATTACAGATCCAGACACCACAGGTGTAGGATATGCATCTCCTGTGTATGGTTATATGCTACAAAACACTCTGTAACTCCCAGTACAAAGAACTGTAGATTTTGGCATCTCTACTGCCATGTCCAGTCCCCCGTGGGAAAAACTTACCAGTCTGATTAGACAGTGTCAACCTTATGAAAAATTAAGCCTTTTGGGAAACACAGAATAAATTTCTCTGGGGGGGGAAATCACCTGGGAATTTGTTGGGCAGATAGGAAAGGAAAGCTGGCAACTACACCAGGGAAGAAACACAGGCCGTGGCAAGCCAGAGAGCTAGGACTAAGCTCTACGGACCATTTCAAGAGGTTGCATTATGAGGTTCAGGCTAACCGCTGAGAGTTTGGGTCTTACTGTTTTGACTCATGCAATGAACTGCCTGGTTTATGATCCCAATCAGCTGCTGAGCCACCAGCATCTAGCCTGGCTGGTGCGGGAGCACTGAGCTAATGGACACGCTTAATGGGAACAAGGGCAATGGTACGAGGTGACAGCAGCATCTGCTGTCAGGAAATCACAACTATGATCCTCATGGCTTTGAAGTATCAGTAAGATCAGATTGTAGGGGTGCTCCTCATTTGACTGGAAAGAGATAAATGCTTTCTTTCTTTACAATGGCACAGTGCTTTCTGGTTATTTCCCTTACAAATCTCTCATTTTTCGAGAGTGGCTGACTGGCCAAAACACCACCACAGAGCTGTGTTCATAAGCACAGACTCAGGACTTCAGCTTTGAGGAATTTGAATATTTGAGCCTCAGATCTCTCTGGAACAGGCAAGAAGAGAGTCCTGTACTCACACCAGAGAAAAGCATCATGTTTCTGGCACAGAAACCAGAAGGATTTTGAACATGTACTGGTACAAGCAATATTTCCATAGAAATAAGAGAGGAACTGCTCTTGACTGTAAGTAAATGTTTCTACAGGGCAAATGAACGGTTTTATGCCCTCTGTATCATTTCAGTAAGCCATTCCAGGAGATCTAGAGATCTAAGGGTATCTTGCCTGCAATAAGATGAATAGGAAGTATTTTTTATCTCTGAAACTGCGATGCCTTTTTCATTATGTAAAATACAGATGGATTCACAGCTGTCATTGCCACCACTTGTTAGAATAATTCCTTATGCATACATACATGTCTACAGAGGATGCTTGCAAGCTACCTCAGTCACAACAGGTCCTGTCACAGCTCCCAGTCTCTAAACAAGGGGATCTACAAAAATTCCAACAGAACTCACTTTTGGAAGCGGGGCACAGAGGGGTAGCTAGCCTGCTATAGTGAGCGTCTCAAGCTAGCCAGCAAAATTCGGAGGAGAATGGAGTGAGGAAATTTTACACCATATTCTTTTAAAGAGATGCAAGTATCCAGATACAGATCATACACTTACTGAGATTCAGGTCTTGGATTCAACAGACAATCAGAGTTAAGCGGCAATAAGACCTGGCAAATGGTTCTCGTAAGATATTTAGTATCAAAGAAGACATGATTTTCTGTCTCTTGAACTATCTTTGAGTACACCAAAACTGAAGTCTTCAAAAGGACTCCGTAGGGTACTGCTTCTGATCCAGGCAGGACCAAGTCCAAAGTAATATATTTAGATCTTGGGATTTGATTCTGACCCATATGAAATCTGAAAGCTTTTGATTTGCAGGGCAATATTCTCCACTGCCCTTGTCTTGGTTATTGCACAGCAGGTTCACAGCGATGTATATCATATCTTACAGCTGCAGCAGTGAGTTCAGTAACCTTTGCATTACTGGACCATAGCACTGAGGGTGATGGAAGGCCAAGTTCTGGTGTTTGGCAGAAACTCAAGAGCTTTAAAAGCTACACATTATCAGAGCAACAAAAAAGGGCCTGTGCTGGGTTAGGTCATTTAATTTTCAATTTGCTGCAAAAGCGATCAGGCAAACCAGAAGGCAGCATAAAATACACTGACCAGTCAGCAGAACAGGACAAAGCAACTTCAAATGGGCCCAATTAAAAAAAAAATAATCCAAGCCCACACACTAGAAAATACAAGCAAGATAATCTGGCTCTTTTCTTTCCACGATGTATACATTTAGTACCAGATCTTGGCATATGGCCAGAATCCTGACTTGGCTAGTGAAGTGTAAAGGCAAACATATCTGCTCAGCCAAGCCAGCAGCACTGGATTTTGATAAGCCGGCTCAGATTGCTTTAGCGCTCCAGAGCAGAGTGGGCTGTGTGAGTGCTTTGATGCTGGCTGTATTGCAGGCACTGTTCTACCTTCCCTGGATGCACTGGGAATGGAGACGATAAGATAGACAAAGAAACCTAAATGAGGAGCACCATAAACCTGTTACTTTTCCTTCTTATGATGGAATGAGCTGAGTTTATGCATTTGGAGGCAAAAAGGTTCTGCACATCCGTCCTCCTTCTGGTGAATTTGTACACCTGCACCTCTGAGAGCAGGAAACCTCAAAATCTGGAAGTGTAAATTTCATCCGCAAGGACCATCTTGGAGACCTATTTTACATATAATCAGGCTAACTTTTATTTTAATGCCACAGTAATACCAAAGAAAAGATTCGGATTTCAGTGGCTCATGCAGACGACCATCCTATGGAGGAGAAGCAGGGTGTGATAAAAATACCGGGTGAAATTTTCAAGAATGTCTAATAGTTTAGGAGAGTACCTTCGGCAGATCGAATCATATTATTTTACATGGCAGATATTCAAATGTCTGTAGGCACTTACAGCTGCCGACTGCAATGCTTAGCAGGATTTTCAAAAGCAAGTCATTTTTACAAATCCAGTTTGTACCTGTTTATAGCATTAGATTTCTAACTGTGTCAGGAGAGAGGTATTTTTAGTCTGGAAATGTTGCTCTAAAGCACTCTCAGATTTCATGCTAAACAACCTTTTTTTCCAAATTTCTCCTCAAACTTTGATTTTTCCACTGGTAGCACAAGCTGAAAACATTGCTATTACAATTTATAGCCATTGAAGTAATCATGATTTCTATGTTGAAATACGAATGACAATAATATACAAGAGGAGGAGTCAGATAAAGATCTCGTTTCCTCCTTTAAATGAAACACTTGGCAATCAGAATAAAAAAAAAAAAAGAAGTCTTGAAATGTTAGTGAAGCTATAATGAAATGATTCCTCTCCATTCAGTTGCATATCACTCGTGGTATACTAGTCCTTTTAATATGGTCCTATAAAACTGACACCTCACTTTCACGACAATCACTGTGCTGGCATCTCATTACTACCTTTATTAAAAATCCCAGTACCCACAGTGTTTACTTCACAATCTAGTATTATTTGGACAGCTTTTCTGCCAGGTGGGGAGTTGAAAAACTCATAGAGATCTGTGGAAAAAGAGACGGGAGTAGGCTGAGCTATCTGTGAGCATCGGTCGCTGTGTCACTGCCTTCCCTGCCGTCACGGGGGAGTCAAGAGTATGAGTGGAAGTTCCCAGCTACAAGGCAACGCCAATCTCGGGTTACTGCAGGACCAAGTTCTACCAAAAATTGCAGGCATAGCATGACAAATTGAAAAGAAATACGAAAGCACTAGCCTTGGGTGAATTTTAATGTTATTATTGTATTAATCAAATGATTTCGAGAAACTAGAAACAGAACATTGATAATGTTTTCTGGGTATTTTTTTAAAGAAAAAAAAATCATCCCAAATAAACAAAAGCAAAACCAAACCATACCAAACAAAACACCCCCTCCCCCGCAACTATTTATGTTTCACTTTTAAGGACAAAAGATTCTAACAAAACTCTCTCTTTTTCTTTTAAATGTACACAGAAATTCGATGATGTCTGTTCTCTATTATAGAAATGCTTAACTCATGGCAAGCCTCAAAAAAGAAGACTTGAAAAAGCCTGTAAGAAATAAAATAGACTGCAGTTGCCTGCTGGATATCATATCATATATCTCACCAGAAAGAAAAGCCATCAATTTATCAAAATGTATCTGAAAGGGAGAAGTTGAGTCAGTTCCACATGGCCAGTCCTTCTGACTCTTTAATGGATACATTTTGAAGCATCACTGCAGATAACAGGGCAAGAATTACTACTAATTTTGTTATGTTAGAACTATGTTTTGGTGTTCCCCAATTTCTTTGGGCTCACAGGAAACAAAATTAGTATAAATACATTACCATGTTAACTGTATTAAAAATCCCATGGACAAATGTATCCTTTTACAGTCCATCTTCAGATCAATTAACAAAGATTAAACTATGCTAATAATCCATTATTGCTTCGCTTTTTCTCTTCTGTTTTTCAAACATTTACCCTCCCCACTTTATAAATCTTTATTATTTGTCACATGTCACATTGATATTCTTGCTTTCCCACTGTGTCAGTGACGTAACTGCTACAAACATGTAAATTATTAATTATCTGGGATCACTTTCAGGAAGTTTGGCTTTCTGTGCAAACAACTTTACGTTAACCAAATAGTGACTACATATCTGTGTTTTGCTGTTGCCAAGTCCATGGGATCTGATGCTCAGCTGTATAATTTTTATTTTATATACAGTGTATATATACATAAGCGTGTATATATATATACACACATATACACACACATATATATACATATATAACTATATATATGTATACAGTCACACACATATAAATATATGTATGCATTGTTTTTTGCAAATGAAATCAGAATGCAAGCAAAACAAGACTGACCTGACTTACCTGTACTGGGCTCACAGTCAATGAAATCTTCATCATCACTGGAACATTCGGCTGACGAAACGATGTCATCTGTTGTCTGGCATGTGAAGGAAAGGAACGAAAGGAAAAGAACAGAGGACAAAAAATATAAGATGCTTGCAAGTCAAGAGGCTGTTACAGAGGCAGCTAAGTATCCTAGAAAAAAAGTGTTTCAGAATTCTAACTTTTAAAATATTTAGATAGTACCAAGCATTCCAGATACGTCTGTGGTAGCTGTGCCCTCCATGGAGCTGGATTCCCCTGTCAGAGGACCAGTGCTTACCCTGTGCTGTTGAGCATTTTGGGTGTGCGCAGGTGCGGTGCGCCTGCCGGGCTGTTTAGGTTAGTGGGCACATGGCACTGTACACAGTACGTACAGCCGGCTACGGCGCCTGCTTGGCTGGGAAACGCCTCCGACAGCCAAAGTCGACGTGTCCGGTTGGAACACGCTGGGCTTCTCCATAAATACCAATACTGCGTAGGGCCAGCCAGAAGGCACCTACTGAGACACTGAACACGAGGCGTGTTCAGGCTGAACGTGCTTTCGGCAAAGAAAAACAAGTACAAGATAGACTCAGATAACATGCGTCACCCAGGCAGCTAACAGTACTCTCTGCTGTGTTGCTAGATGCATCGCTCTGAGGCAGAGGCAGTTCTTGCTCTGTTAATGCACCTCAGGCGTTGGGAATCCTGTGCATTTACCCAGATCTGTGCAACCGATTTGTTGCACTACGAAGAACTGCTGCACGCATCAGGTGAGCCCAACACACAATGTCACCTGCTCGCTGGCCAAGCGAACAGGGACGTGGCTCTGACTGGGCTGACCAGCTGGAAAGTCAGGTTCTGAAAGTCTTAAACCCAACGGTGATTGTTCACATCCCTTATAGGTTTCAGCACATTCCTCTGCATTTCCAGCTGGTGATTTTTTCTTTCTTTTTTTTTTTTTTGTTTTTTTTTTTTGCTGCTGTCTAATTAATGAGCAACGTGTACTGCAGCATGTTAGAGAGAAGTGTACTGGCGTCTCTTCCCAGCAGCATCTCCTGCCTGTAATTGCTGCAATTAGTTGAATTAGTAATGCAGACCATTAGGGAGAGTCTGTGGCAGCCTCTGGACACAGGTTGTAATGTTCCTGCACACAGTACAAAATTACCCCAGCTCAGCAGCATCAGCTCAAACCGTGGCTTCTGCTGAAATTGTCTCCCCTAACAGCTTCTCCTCGCAGAGAGTTGCCTATTCTGCTGAGCAGCGGGATCAGTGGGGTGACTCCTGAAACAAAACAACTAAAATATTCTTCACCAGGCAGGAAGCATTCCTGAAATCTCAGCTCCTCAGGAGCAGGGCAGCTGTACTTCAGCATGCTGTACTTTAGTATTCCAGGGGAATATTCCTGGGAAACTCACATCACGACAAGCCTTCCAAATCCTTATTCCTGAAAAAGACTCTCCAGCTTTAAATAAGGTCCCCTTTACATTCCTGTGTGTGCTAAGGCTGCCTCCAACATGCTGCACCCCTCTTTGCATAAGTGTTCTGAGGTCTCAGCCTTTTCTTTAGCCTTCTGTGGTCCTAACACTAGCAAGCCCCTCTGTCTGCTGCCAGAAGTTCCTTGCGCTCCTCTCAGTATTTGAACTAAGGAAAAAAACAGAACGGAGCTTTCAGTCAGAAAGACAAGATTGAACCTGACATTCCTTCCCTCTTGATTTCAGTGGCTTAGAGTGAACCAAGAAAGAAAAATAGGATCGGTCAGCTGTAAACAAAAATTATAAAAATGGAGTATCAGGACAAAAAACAGCTATGAAGTAAAGAAATCCCTATCGTATGTGTTACTTAGTCTTACCCGGCATTGCCATTTGGCAACATTTTGTGGGATGCAATCTTGCAGTAGTCTCATTCTTAAATACTTTCATTAAATACTTTTAGATAATCTTGCCTCAATGTGGAAGAAAGACAAAAAGGAACTGAAAGGAACATGGACAAAGCGCTTTCCTGCCCTACATGCTAATGTCATGTTTTTAGCATCTTCTTTCAGTCATAGAAAACAGAAGAACACTGTTGAAATCCTGGTGTCTTCTCTCTTAAAACAAAATGACTTTAAAAATTCAGCTGTTCAGTGAGAGGTCAAGAAAGGAGGAATGCACAAAATAAAAAATTACTTTCTATAATTCTGGTTCTGTCACATATATTTTATAAAGCTTTATTTATCCCAAAGGACACCAAAGAACTTTATAACTTCTACAAACAGTGTGATCCATCCTCCAACAGTGAAATGCAGCTGTCTCTGGGCAGAAAGATACTAGTTTTTAATTGCACCACTGTAAAGTAATTTAGCACAATAAGTCAACAAAACTATACTGTAAGAAATTTGTTTAAGCAGGTGAAATGTAGCTAGCAAAACTGGAGATTTACATTACTCTTGTCTAAAGCACTTGAAAAAGAGTGTTAAGGACAGCACTGTGAATAAAGAATAAATTATGCATCACTACTAGAAGACCTTGCTCAGACAGTGCTAAGACCCTGGCAATTGCTTTTGATTTCCAGGTTGAACTTAGAGCACGTGGATTTTGCTCTTAGTTGAAGATCTGACGATTCACATGTAGGGTCTCATAGAAGAACAGTGGTGATTTGCTTCAAGTGGGAAATAAGCATAAAAATTATAACAATGTGTGGTTGTCACTTATCAACTGCTATACCTATCCACTTACCCACTTGCTCATACCTAATGGCTTCATGCAACGTTAACTTGGAATCAGATTCAACTGAATTGACAATCTGATTCAGTATTTGTAAAGAATAAGGAGTTCCTTTATAACTCTTTTTTCCCCCTCTTGCTTATTAAGGGCATCATACGAAACCAGAAAGGTAGCATGCTCAGAAAAAAACAGGTGATATTTCTTTACACAAAATTGTGTTTGTTTGTTTGGTTGGTTTTTTAAACTGGGGAACTCCTTGCAACAGGATACTGATAGGCTATAAAGGTTTAGATGCATTTTGGAAGTAATTGGCCAAATTCAGGGTAAGAACATCCTTCCAGAGCTATTAAATACCCCATACCTAGCTTGGGAGGTCCCTGTGCTGCAGACACTGAAGACTAAAGAAATATCACTATTTGCATTATCCTGTTCAGGACTCTCTCCCCAAAGCCCCGTGCATGGCCAGGGCCAGCAGCAGGGTGCTGGGTGAGGTGACCCTCTGCAGCCTCCCGGCCACTCTTGTGCGTGACAGATCCTGAATGCTGGGGGATGAAGAATTTTGAAGCCAAGACAAGTTCTGAGCAGGAGCTGAAAAGTCATGAAGCCTGGACCTTGATTATCTTCTTGATCAATTTCCCATCCAATAAGCAGCTCAAGGACAGTGCACGCAACATATTTATGCTGCACTCTCAGACATGCGTTTCCTTCTATAAAATCCTCATGCAGCTTGTGTTGGTTCTGAATGGAGAAGGGCACAGTCAGCCAGACTTGGGCACAATACAAATGTGTGATACGCAATACTCACCAACCCTGCCAAGTCTGACCTGTATCTGCACTTTTTCATGACTGGTTCCACACTTGATTCTATCAATTAGTCTCTGTCCTTTTCTCCCCATCTCTACCACATGCTATTTCCCCTGATATTCCAGTTTTTCTTGCTCTGTGATTGCTGTTTGACCTATGTTACTGATTTTGTATGTATAAAAATGAGGGTTAGAAAAAGAGAAAAACCTCCAGAAGTGGTGTTAGACTTAAGTCAAGGTCATTAACGTGATCTCTAGAAACCACAGAAAAGATAAGTACACTAATCTGTCTTGCCATTTCCTATCTTGTATTTTTAATCTCAGTAGTTTCCATCACAATTTATCACTAACTGATTTTCTAGTTCCATCACATATTGGTTTTCCATGCACTTTCCACTCAGATACCAACATCTGAATCATCCCCGAGGAATACAGCTATTTCAGTGAGAAACAGCAGCAAATTCCTGACCACAGAAACAGTCAAGGAGACCTCCAGAAGACCATGACTTCTTGTAACTGGTATCTGTACCTTTCAAAACCCTCCTGGAGCTGAGAATTTTCACTGGATGATTATTAAACTTGCTGCTTCCACGAGACAGGAGAGGCTAGTGAGCAGCGACCCCAGAAATCTCTCCACCAACATCATTTTTTCTCATCAGAAATGGCTCGCTATAAGGCAAAGCAAAACCAGATATTCCATTTCTGGTTCCCTTTCCCCATTTTTGAAATGGAGCTGATTACACTCACCCCTTGGCCCCAGGGGAAGTAAACAGATTATTTCTTTAGCGTCTGCCCAGTGATCTAGTGATGGTAAATGGTAAACATTCTTATGTACAGGCAACATAGTAGTAATGAAACTTCTCCGTATGCTATGATGAAAATGATGTTTGTGTTTTTATTGGAAAGAACATGAGAGAAAATATTTTTCTATTCCATATATTAGCTAAATTCTATATTAAAAATAATAATTCATACTATACTATTTTAAAATATGTATTTCATTTTTAAAGAATCCCAGCTTTGAAATTACTTGGCCCTGTATTAAAGGCCGTAAAACTAAAGATAGGTATTATAATAACTTTCAATAAAATCTCTCTCTGGCAGGAACCCTTTTTATTCCTTCCTCTGAAAGATTTTTTATGGCATTTATATTATTATTTTTTCTCTCCCTCTCTCTAGTGTTTAATGAAATTGCCTTGGAATAAAACCGGGGTAGGAGAAAGTGCTAAAGTCTGAGTCCACCCTGGAGGATTTATGGGCATATTTACCTTCAAATTCTTTCAATTTCAGTGAATTGGCTCCCCATTCCTTTCCATGAATTATTAGTTCTGTAATCACCTCCTCCTAATTATTCACTCTAAGGGCCTCTTCAATCTTGCTACGGTGATGGTTCTACATCTTTGTTCATTATACTGTATGTACTGGTGTGGGATGTAAAGCGCAAGGGAAGTTGGGATGGTGTGGCAAGACCTGCTCAAGATGACTCCATTCCTGTCCAGTCCTTCCAAGGGCCCAAAGCCCTAATTTATGCATCAGATCCACAACCTTTGCTCCTTTGTTCTACACAA